TTGGCGTTAGGCTCCTCAGCCTCACCTCCTGGCTCGCACGGGTGATACGGGTAGACCTTGGTGGGAGAAGGCGTTCCGCCAAGTATCAAGGCCCTAAACCATTTAGGGCTTTGTACGTAAGCATCATCACTTTGAAGTCGATGCGGAAACGGATGGGCAGCCAGTGCAGTGCGGCCAGAGTGGGTGAGATATGTTGGAATTTTTTCACTCCACTAAGTAATCTGGCCGCCGCGTTCTGCACCATCTGTAGTTTCCGCAGCAGCCTCAAAGGTAGCCCCACGTAGAACAGTTGGGTGTTTGGATACTTTAAAATTCTGTTCTCGAGGATGAATCACGGCAAGCCAAGTTTCAGAGAGAGAAAGTTTTCTCAGCGGAGCCATAAATCCCTGAAGGCAGGGATTTATAACAGAGTTTTTGACAAGAGCCTTAACTATTAGCGCTAGGAGGAGCTGCTAATCACATTAGGTTAGATTAGAGAAGGCAAGAAAGACTTTTGAAACCTGGCTACCATGGCGCTGCCTAATTTATAGTGTTCTTGTCAAGATGAAATCAGATTTCATCGTTATGACATTTCTTTCCAGAGTACTAAATGTTAACTTTGCTGAGAAGGCACATTTTGGAGAAGCGGGAGGAGGAACGAGCAGTCAAGAGGGCACAAGGGAAAGACAGCTTTGTTCTAGATCACAAATGTGATATATGGGGTGGAGGGATGGAGAGATGATCTCTTCATTTAAAGACATTCACGCGGATGATTGTTCTCACACTGGCAAGAGGTAACTACATTATGGAACAGCTTTACATGGGAGGCTGCAAAAAATGTCACTGATTGTTAGGGAAATCAGATGAACCACATTACCATGGACTTACACCAGATCCAGTTGCAGTGGGCAAGAAGCAAGACTCCAAAATACATGGAAGTTCACCAATGACATCTACTCTTGCACCACTCCACACGTTTTTTAAACACACATACAACATAGATTGCTAGGTGTTACTGCTCTGATTGGATTTTTAGAACTACTTGTCTTTTTCACTTTTGTGTTTTCCATGTCTCAAGACTGATTTTTTAAAAATGTGTATACTTAGTGATCTTTGCTTTAATATCGTCGGTTAATGATGTACAATGCTTCCTTATGCATTGGTTTTAAATATCGTCCTTTAATGATGTTAACCACCATTGTATACTCATTGTTTTCAACTTTAAGTATTGTCTTTTGTAAGCTGTGTTGGGTCCTTTTCAAGGGGAAAGGATGGGTAAAAATATTTTAAACAAACAACACAGCTACTTGTCCTAGAGATTGCCAGCCTTGTTTCTAAAAGCACTGCATAAATTTCTGGGTCATTGTGCAGAAAAAATTATAAGAAACGTGGAATCATCCCCTAACAAAGTCTCCCACAGCTGGCAGCATCATAGGTCAAGGAAATCTTAAAGATATCATTATTTGAGGTTTGCCCAACTTCTGTACAGTCCTTCTTCACCCCATTTTTAAAATGTGGATTGCTACTCACAAGGCTTATTATTGTCGGCAAGAGCTGTAAGCCGTAATATGTGGGAATTTTTTTTGGTCCCTAGGTTTTGCCTTTTGCCTGGATCTGAACTGGAATGAAGTCCTGGAAATTCCTCCATAACGGAATTTTGTCTTTGGAGTGAAAAGGGTTGTCCACTCTTGTTTTGGGAAGAGGGAGGTTAGGAGGGGGTCAGTGGCACAGTGGTTCAACTGCAGTACTGCAGCTAAGACTGCTCACAACCTGAGTTAAATCCTGATGGGCTGAGATAACCAGATCAAAGCTGATTCAGCCTTCTATCCTTCTGAATTTGGTAAATTGAATACCCAGCTCGCTGGGGTGGGGGCAATATGTAGCCTGCATTATTAATTTATAAACTGCCCAAAGAATGCTTTAAGTGCTGTTGACCGGTATATAAGCAACATACTTTGCCTTTTTCCAACAGGTAAATGGAAGGGCAGTTGTGAGGGAGTTACCTGCTTTCCAATCTTTGGTGGCTTGAAAGCCTCCCCCTCAGCCTAGAGACTTTTTTCAGGAAAAAAACTAAACCCCAACTCTTCCTTATCTTGCTTTTCGAAGTGTGGAGGGAGCAAACAACAACAACCCACATGTCATTCATCCTTCCTGCTGTTGTTATATGGTGCAGTAAGGGCCACAACACAGTTTTCCACTGACATCACAACCACAGCAAGAAAGGAACACATTGCCAAGTGCTGTAGCTGTCTATATAACATGTTATTTTGGAGAGATGGTGAATGTCGGATTATGCTTTAGCACAAAACTATCAAAACTTGTTCCTTTTCTGAGTTACTTTTCAATATTGAACAAATAATTTCAAGGTTAATGGAATTCCTCTATTTACTTTTATAGCACTTTTTAAAAGTACCAAAACGTAAGAAGGAACACAACAGTTAAAACTGAATTACCATGTTAATGGTAATGAGTTACTTGGGGAACTTCTTTTTTTTTAAAAGACAGTTGCATATAAGAAATTACTTTCAAAAAGTAAGGTCCTAAACTCTGGGGACTGTCCCATTCAGAGCATTACCTTTATCACTGAGGCCCCTGCTCGAGAGAGAGGGCTATGCATCTGAGCTGCGGCGGCCATGTTCGCGATGGTGTTGAGATGGTTCATTTGATTCATCGCCATGGCCACAGAAGCAGGAGGTAGGCCAACAGGAAGCAGAGGATGGGGCATCATCATGAACGGCAGATCTATCCCTGGGGAGGGAAGGAAAAAAAATACACAGCCCAAAATGTAAATAATTGTTGAGTATTCAAGAGTATGAACATTCCATGGAATTCATATAGGCTGTCAAGATCGTATTTATTTTGATCATTTGATCATCTATTTATTTATTAGATCAATGTATACTCTCCCGCCTTCAATGCTCTGAAGACAACACTGGTGGCTTCTCTCTCCTTCCTTCTTTAACATTCCCATTAAAAGACTAGATCAAGGCCACCCAGTGAGTTTCAGAGGTCTGTGTGGACTTGAATCTGGATCTCCAACATGTCATAATCCAGCCCCTTAACCACTCAATTGTAAGGCTGGAATCTTCATAGCATAAGGACAACAAAATGCAGTTTTTGGACCAATGAATGTGAAGGATAGCACTCTGAATAAACTCTACAAACTCAGTAAATTAGGTGATGATGATGACTAGTACTTTGCATAGGCCATTCTATCCCAGTGCAGTCTTTTCTTGCTTTCTTATTTCTGCAGAAACTTTTGATAGTTTTGCATAAGTTTTTTGAATGGACAAATTCATTCTGCTTTGGTTGCTGCGGGTTTTTCGGGCTCTTTGGCCGTGTTCTGAAGGTTGTTCTTCCTAACGTTTCTCCAGTCTCTGTGGCCAGCCTCTTCAGAACAGATGTTAGGAGGAACAATCTTCAGAACACGGCCAAAGAGCCCGAAAAACCCACAACAACCATCAGATCCCGGCCATGAAAGCCTTAAAGAATATATTTTTCTGCTTTCTGTTTTCTTTTTCTTTTTTTACACACCCTGAGAAGGTTGCATTCCACATGAGTCTTTAACACACTCTGGAAAACACACAAATCTAAATTTTTAGACCAGAAGTGCCTCGAGCTCATTCATGCCCATCTAAACCTTGCTGATTTTTTTTAATGGTGTGTCATACCTCTCTGGTGTGATTGCCCATGTAAAGGCTATTTTAACTTCCCTCTCAACTCTGAAAGACTGTGTTGACCCTATAAGATGCTTGGGAATGAAGGCATTTAAATATCCAGTCATTTGGGAGCCATGATTAGCAATGGAAGGGAGCTTTGGAGAGGTAGGTCCGAAGGCTTTTATGGCAATTTGATGGGGTGTTGAGTAGACAGCCTAAGGTAGCCATTTTCAGTGGAGGGACATAGGGCTCCCTGGGCGCAGCAAGGCACATTGGAATGGGGCCACAGACTGGAAACAATTCTTCACACACCACCTTATAAGATTCATTATGCAATTTACACAAACCTGATTCAGCCTATTTTTTTTCATGGTTGTGGCCAAAACAAACAAACAAACAAAAAAGGTTGAGAATGGCTGGTCTAGGATTTTGGAAAATGGATGGAATGTACTAAGGTTCACTAAGGCAGACTATGAGGCTTCAATCGATTGATCTATCTGTCGATCTGTCTGTCTGTCTGTCTGTCTCTGTCTGTCTCTCTGTCTGTCTGTCTCTCTGTCTGTCTGTCCCTCTCTCTCTCTGTCCCCCCCCTCTCTCTATCTATCTATCTACATCTCTCTATCTATCTACACTGACAATTTTGTTCTTCTTTCAGCATAGCTGTTACCTGCCCCAATGCCCTGAGCAAACAAGGCTGGCTAAGAACCTAAATAAACAATAGACTGACAACCAAGAAGGGCTCGTGTTTCTTTCCTTGAAATTGCCTCAGCACCCCCACCTCAATCCGCCATACAAACATGCGCCTTTGTTCCTCCTCGGTGACCCCTTAGCAGTCTGGTAATCTTTTCCCCCCCTACTCCATAGAGTTTCAACACTCCCAGACGCCATCTGTCCTCACCGAGCTGCGTGCCTACGTAAAATCCAATTGAAATGCAAACGAAATGCAAACTACAAGCGGAATTTAACAGCACACTGCCAGTTTTTTAAGGGACACCACATCCAAATGGTTTCCCATCACATCTGATGTTCACAAATCGGACCCAACACTTGATACACTCTACAACTGAAGGATCAAGAATGTGTTTTTGGGTTTGTTTGTTTTTACCCATAGCCAAGCAGCCAGCAAGATAAGGAAAGAGGAAAGGCTGGGGAATGGACTCTGGGAGATACTACATTTGTCTGCTGAACCAGACAATACAGGAACACACAATTTCACATCATATGCAAGTAATTCAATGCCACAAAGAAGCCCAGCGATTTCTAACTACATATAGACCCAGAGAAGGCATTATAATAGCCATTGTGAATTGTGTCAAACATGAGGACAACTCATATTAAAACATTACAATGCAGCTCTTATTTTTCTCTCATTCATTTGCTGTCACCCTTTCACAACCATTTTCTTGTCCCCATGTCACCCTGACATGAAACTCATCTACATTCTTTTCCTTCCCCTGCCTGGACAATATATTCTTTTGTACAGGGAGAAAGAAAAGGAAAGCTGTATGTTTCAATTATGTTAAGCCACCAAGCTTGGTGGAATGATCAAAGAACTGCACATAACTGGGAAGCGTTGCTTCTGGCATTCTTAAAAATGTGGCTATTCCCAATATTCCCAGTACTGGATAGCACAGTGAGTTAAGGTTCTGGCTGAGGAGCCAGAGATTCGGAGTTGAGTTCCCACTGTGCATCTCAGAGGAGCCAGCCCGTGTGGCCTTGGGCAAGCTGCACAGAAGGGAATGTACAACTTCTTCTATGGAGTCTCTAACTAAAAAATCCCGAAAAGGGTCAACGTAAGTCAGAATTGACTTGACAGCACACAATTATTACCATCATTCCATATTTATGAATGCAAAAAATTCTGTTCCTCATTATGGGAAATCAGTATAGATTATAATAAAAACTCTGATCAATATTAGGGGTACTGCACATCTTCTCTGGAAATCAACTACAAACAAAAAAACATCATCTCATTGATTGTCGGAATCCAATCGCTAAGATGTCAGATACCAGGTGGTGCCATGCAACACAGTAATATTTCAAGATCAGAAATAGAATTCTTCTTCCTAGTTTTCATCTGAAGTTACAAGTAGCTGTGGATTTTAGACTCACAAAGAGAGTATGGCTCAATAAGAAGCTGACGGCATATACCAAGATCCAGGTCTATAAGAGCCTGTGTCCTGAGTACTCTGCTGTACTGCAGTGACTCTTGGACCCTTTGTGCACGGCGGGAGAGGAAGCTGAACACATTCTATATGCGTTGTCTCTGATGCAGTTTTGGTATCACCTGGCAGGACAAAGTTCCAAATAGAGTAGTCCTAGAACAAGCTGGAATTTTTAGCATGTATACATTACTGAAACAGCGCCGTCTACGTTGCCTCGGGCATGTCGTGAGAATGGCTGACAGTCGGGTTCCAAAACATCTCCAGTATGGAGAATTAGTGCAGGGAAAGTGTCATGAAGAAGAGATTTAGGTTAGAGTTAACAGGGCTGGGCTTAGTGGGGAAGTTGAACTATTTTAGATTTAAGTTATTTTGGACTTCATGGGAGGGCATTCTTTTAACACTTCCAAATGCATTCAAGTCATCCCTTGCTGCCTTTTAAGTCCCTCCTGTTCATTCTGCAGACATCTACTAGAATTTGGAAAAGTTACTTTTCTTATTGTTGTATTTTGATGTGTTTTTATTGCACCTGATGACATAAGTGAATCTGGGCTGGATGCCCTGATTACTTCTGTAGTTGGAAGGCAGTGGTAAGAACACGGGAAAACAACAAACACCTGCCATCAGCCCCTGTTGACAAGATTTGTGGGATGACTGGGGGAATTATAGGAATTGTGGTCCAAGACATGAAGTTGTCTACTCCGATCAGAATTCAGACTGTGAACAGGCTCAGATCCCCAACTAGCCACACAACTCACTGGATAACAGTGCATTCTTTCTCAATGTAATCTATTTTGTTTGCGTACTGTATTGTGTTGTGCTGTATAAAGCTTATAGTGTATACCACCTGATTTCGTAAGGACCAGGGTGGATATGATTTAAATAAAATTGATTTAAATCTTGATTTAAATTTTTAAAAATTGAATTTTGACCATTTGAAATTTTTTTAAAAATGAATTTTAAAAATAATTAAACCATGATGTAAATCAATTTGACTTTTTTTTAAAAAAATCATTGATATATATCCACCCTGATGCACACTACTACTCAGTGTGGTTTCTCTAGCTTACCAACTTTCTGTACAGAAGCAAACATGCCCTCCCCTCCGAGCCAATTTGGAAAAAGAAAGAGTAAATATATAAAAAGGATTTTAAAAGAAAAAGGAGAAATAAATTAAATAAACAACACTGTAAGTTAAAGCAAAGTGAGCCAACCAACCCAAACATCCAGCCATCATGGGTTTCTCATTGCAAAAGAAAACAAGACACGCTATGCGCAACCTCTCAGGTTCTTGGCAGAAACAGGCGAGATCAGGGTCTTAACATGCATGGAGGCTCGGTTGACATGTTCAGCCCACTGATTTTTGCAAATTCCTATGTGAAACATGAATCCCTGCTTGTGGCCAAATTCCAAGACTGTGTCGGCCTGCGCACCTCGTCTTTAAATATGACGGTGCCCAAAGGGGTCCTTTCTGTTAGCTTTGTTTTACTGTATTCCCTCCCAAGCCCGGCCCTGACCAGTTCTTATTTTAAAGCAAAGGACGCCTTCCTTCTCAAAGGGGACCAGAATCCACATACTGTACCCCTCATTGCATGCCTCCCTCCTTGCACAAGGACTGAATGATCCCCATGAGGGTGCGCTCAGACGGGGAAGTAGCTTGGATTTTGGACAGCTCACGGCACAGTCTAGTGCGTGTGATTTCCTGGCAATTACTGATCCGTGCCCGGGTTGCACCTTAGGGTGGAGGGCTGGCCCGGAGCAATACCTCAACGGACAGAGATCGCTCCTGGCAAAGCAACCCTTTCTGATGGACCTAGACAGGATCCGTCCTCTTCCTCAGCCATTTCATAACCCAATAATAATAAACAAAATATCTGGGAAGATTCTCAAACAATAAACAAAATAGTTACCCATTTGGTGTCCTTTTGAGAAAGCAATTTGTTTTCTTTGATTGACTTTGGCTTTTTATTCTATAATGTTAATTAAACATATTGGCTGTTTTATGACGCCCTGAAGAAGGATCCAAAATAAAACTGAGCTGGAACATGCGGGGCTTCTTTTAAAAATAAAACAAACATAATTTTTAAATGTCTTGAGAAGTGTGGGTTTCCCTCTTTACTTTGGACTTCTATGACTGCCAACAGCCCGCCGGCTGGGGCAGCCACCTCCCTTTGCCTAACGAGAGGACCGGCCCTTTGATAACCACCACCTTTGTGTAGGAAACGCCTGCGCAGGCCATGATTTTCAGGCTGTAATACATACTATTTGTGAGCAGATGGTTTTGTTGCAGAGGGCTAAGAGGGTGAGTGCTTCCCAAATTGGGTTGCCCAGAAAGCGTGGCATGGCTGACTCCGTGATGAGATCCCGTCGTGATGGGAGACTGAAGCTTCTCTTTATCCCACGAGGATTCGCTTCCACCTGAAAGGGAGAGTGCAAAAAAACGAGGTTTTGAAAAGTGGTTTGGAGAGGAAATTCTGCTGGGTTTTCATTTAAAAAAAATCGTTGAACTATGATCGCAAGAACTTTTTTAATCTCACATATCTCACATTATCTAACATGCAATCCTGATTTGGCCTGTATTTCTTTTATATTATGTTTATGGCTGCGGCCAAATAAAAGCTGAGAATGGGTGTTTTAGACAACACTGATGCAGAACATGGATTCTGGTGTGTTGTTTCAGCAGGCTAGTTTGTTTTGTTTTCATCTGGTTTTTCGGTGAAGTGTAGGGAATATACTACCTGAATACATGATGAACGTCTTGTACCAGGTTTTGGGTCAAATGCTTTTACAACAATGAGGCCTCTCTCTCTCAATTTAGATAACGGCACTTAAGTCTTTCCTTATCTAATAAGGAGATTGATCCTTACTTTTAACCATGATTCAAGCATTTCTTACCAGCCCGAGCCTCTCATGTTCTTGAGAAAAATAGGGAAAAAGCTGAATACCAATTAAGAATGGTATGATTAATCTCATCCACATACTAAAACCCATGCCATAATTATTATGTATGGGCTAAAATAGTCAAAGCGGCACAATGCTAATTGTACCTTCCACTTTTTTTTTCCTTATCCAATAAAAGCATTCAATTAGATTTTGCATAACGAAAAGGAGGGCGGGAATTGCATGGGGTGAGGGTGGGGTGGGGGAGCGGCTGTCTGGGATATTGACACTGCCAGGAATTCATTAACTTGATTTCCAATTAGAATCAGTAATACTTTGTCGACATGTAAGAGACAGTAGCGGGAGGGGGAAAAATGTATCTTAATTGAAGATGAAACTAACAGCACAGAAAACACTCAACATTCTTTATGATAAGCGCTCGGCTAATAAAGGTGATTAATGCTATCAAACAGAAAAATTGGAAAGATCAATGATGGAGCAAAAAGGGAAACATTCCATCACTTTAATACTACCGCCAAGCCATGAATTACCTTTAATATTACAGATTTGTAATTTGCAAAAAAATGATGAGCAATGTATTGACACAGGGAGATGTGTGCATGCTGAGCTAAATTATACCATATGTTGTAATATAATGTGGCATGATTACAGTGGTGTTGAATAATGCAGTTATATTTGGGCTGGTTGTGTCAGCACTTCCATCATACATTTAGCACACTGTACAATGAGAGGTCCAAACCCACATTTGACTGAAATATGGTGTAACTCAGACTCTGGCTATATCAGTATATTCTGAAATGCCAATGTTCCTATATATATTATATTTATTTCACTTCCTGGAATTGAAAACCACTTTCCCCCTTGTAATGTGGTTTCTCTTAGGCTTTCAAATTCTCCAGGGGAATTTCCTCAACAGTAATAAGGGTTATGTGCCATCAAATAAATTCCAAATTATGGCAAGCTTTTCCAGGTTCTTCCAGGTATAAGATACTCAGTTTACTATTCCCTTCATCGAGGAGCAGCCTGGGATTGTCCAGCAGGCCCAAGGTTACACAGGCTGGGAGGCACAAAAGAACTGAAATCCGAGCCTCTGGTTTCACAGTCAATGAGAGGAACTGTAGGTCTGGATGGACAGGGTAGAAGTCTAATGAATAAATTTTATTAGATCCAGATCTTGGAGGGAAAATAAATCCATTTTTGGACTACAGTGCCCAGAATTCCCCAGGCAAGAGGATTCTGAGAGTTGTAATCCAAAAGAGGACTTTTTAGAAGTCCCAGTTTGAGCTCTCCTTATAGAAGCAATTGTGGTGCTCATATATGCTGCAGACAAGCACCGAGGTGTGTGCTGTTGTAATCCAAAAGAGGACTTTTTAGAAGCTCTCCTTATAAAAGCAATTGTGGTGCTCATATGTGCTGCAGACAAGCACCGAGGTGTGTGCCGTTGAGACCTGCCCAAACCAAGCTGTGGGTGGGATCCTGTTATGCAACCTGTACAACTTGGATGATGTTGTCACCTTCAGCCATTTTGGAAGAATTTGTGAGGTGGGGAAACTCCCTAATGTTGGAAAATCACTCGTGAGAGGAGCAGTGGTGGTGATTCTCTGCCATTAAAAAGTCATCTCACCTGTTCAATGACTCCCGAAATCTTTGCCAGAATGAAAGGGAGGGGCGGGGGGAATAGGAAAAGTTTAATTCCCTCAACATGACAATGGAAGCTGTCATCCCAGTTTAAAGATACGCAACAGGATTCTGGACAACGTTTCCCAAGGTGTTATTTGGAGGAGCAAATTGGAGGATGTTCTAGCTCAGATACTCCAGCGAAAGACCAGAATCCTCTTGGCTTGGAGAGTCCAATGGCACAAGAAGTTAGTCTCAGAGTACTGTCTTGTATCAAGGTACCAGATTCCCTTCTTTCTCAGTGTCGGCACGGAGTCACTAAAAAACCCATCACACTCTCTTTCTCTGCTGCTTGACTACTGTATGTTTGACCATAGGCTGCCTATATGAATTTAGACTAGTGGCCTCTACTGCCTGATTCGGGCTGCTTCCCTCTATTGGCCAATTCTGGTCATACATGGTGAAAATACTTTTTCTGAATTGTTTCTTTTACCATGGTATGGATTGTGTTTTCTATTATCCGCGGTTTTCAGCATCCACAGCTGTCTTGGAACCAATCATCCATGGCTTAGGGTGTCCTACTTTTAGTGCCAAATTAGGACTAAGACTGTTATCATGACAGCCTTCTGTAGCCAAAATTTAAAAGGAACTGTGTTGATCCATGTCAACAAAGTTCTTCCACCTTTTTTTCATGTGTAGGGAGGCCATCCTTGCAAAGCTAACAATGGCTAATTGTGTCTTCAAGACGAAGCTAAATGTTTTGCATTGGAACATGATGCCCAAAAAATAGGCTGTTGCTGGGAAAATCCATTCTAATCCCATCCACGTTTTCCACCTTCCATTAAGAAAGGAAAAGTGGACTCCCTCGTCCACCTATTTTGCTTAGAAGCTCTAGATGCAGGTGGGGTGGATGGACCCATATGGGTCATGACGATCGTAATATGTGGAAGTACCATAAAGGAAGGATAGAAATGGTTGAGGGTCTTACAAACGCAATAAGCCATGTCAAGGGGCTTGGTTGCACCAGAAAGACGACAAGAAATATTAAGCAAATACCTGCCAATGCTATTTTCCAAAGGGTCAAGTCTTTATGTTCCTGCACAGATAGGCTATCCAAAATGGATGCAATTTCCATAAACATCAGCGGCTCGACATCTCATAAAGCAAGGCACAATATGATGTCTGCATAAATTAATGTAACCCTTTCCAAATTAAATAAATAAATCCAGAATATCCTCTGGATCGAAGCCAACGTTTTCAAACGGTTCTAACAGTTTTCAGACTGTTCTCGCTACACTGATGGTATCGGGAAGAAAAAGCAAAGGGCTGAGGATTTGATTGGCACTGCATTTTATAAAGCAGACTCTGTGTCAGTTATTAAAAGATTGGGGGCAGAAAATTTTCTTGCTGCCCCACCACCATCAAAAGGAAACATTTTCTCAGATTTGGCCGCCGGGCGAAAGTTTCTGCAGTGGTCTTACAGAAGGAGCACAAGACGCAAACATAATAAATGGATGATGCATGATATGTAATTAATGCTGCTGCGCGGATCTTTTTGACAAAGGTAAGATGAATCCGTTTCCACCCCCGATAAGAGGGGGAGGAAGACTGCCTTTGAAAAAGCACAATGCACTTTCGATCATAATTAAAGCTGCTGAGGGTCCACATCATTTACTAAATAGTGAATGGAGTGTGTAAATTAAGATGACGATCCATGCTTGGATGTGTTCCAGATAATGTCTATATGATGCATAATGAATAAGAAGAAAACACACTGTATCCAATAGAAAAAGAGATGGTACCTATAACATTTCAATCAGAAGCAGAAGCTTCCCTGAGATACCAATTCAGGACAGCTTATGTCAGGAGATGCAGTTGAAGAATCTGCTGGATAGCTCAGTGGTATAGATCTCTGGCCATGGAGCCAGAGGTTGGGAGTTCAATTCCCCACTCTGCCTCCTTCACGGGGGCTGAAGTCGATGATTCATAGGGTTCCTTCCAGCTCTGCAGTTCTAAGATTATTATTATTGACTCAATGGGAAGTTAAAATACAGGACATAAATACAATAGCATCCTCTCATTCATGCTCCCCAGCAAATGGCACAGAATGGCATGGTCCTTCTGATATTGGAAGGAATACCTCTCATTCATGCTCCCCAGCAAATGGCATAGAATGGCATGGTCCTTCTGATATTGGAATTCTTCCAAGCTATCAAGAATCACCTTCTCCACCATGGATTTCCTCATCCTCTTTTGAAGCCATCCAGATATGAGACCATCGCCATATCTTGTACTTGTGAATGCCATAATTGAATGAATATATACGGTGTGAACTTGCACCAGTCAAAGGCCTGTCTAATTCAGCATTCTTTTCCCCACACTAAATCTCCCACCAGGGGTACCCAGTGTTGGGTAGTGGATATAGAAATGGACTCAGACTTAGGAGATCTGAGTTCGATTCCCTTGCTTTGCCAGGGAAACTCACTGGGGGAGTGGAACTGGCAAAACCATTCCTTAAATGCCTCACTTATCTTGAAAGCCTTATTGGGGTCACTATATGTCAGCTCTGATAACAACAACAACAACAGATCTCCCATAAATCAGCTATGTAAGGTGACTCCAGGTTCCTGTACTGTGATTGGGGATGGTTTCTTTTTTCATGTTTATATGTCTGTCTACTAAAAAAAAGGAAGGCTCCACCAAGCAATGATCCAGCTAAATCAGCAAATCTCTATGTACAGTAGTCACTTTTTAATCACTCTGGTGAAAGAATTCCCACTGTATCAACTTGCAGCACAGAGTTTAAACTCTGTTTATGCATGCATGAACATTAATTGGAATGCACAGGCATTGTGTGTATACACAGAAAACAAAAAACATCTAACACCAAAAATGGGTCA